AAAAAAAAAAAAAAAAGAAGCTGGCTCAGGGTTCAAGCACTGATTGAATAACCCATGTCAAAATCCCGACATTCTACCTTCAAACCTGCCCTCGACCCAGTGATTTAGCACTTGCCAACACCCTACAAAGCAAGCAAGCAAGCACTGACTCCAGTCGGTCCAGGCTGTAACTCCGTCTGTCGTCCACTAGCTCTATCGAACTATAAGCTACCACAGAAAGAGACCTCCCATCACAAGTGGGGAAACGCACCTTCCCACAACTCCTTGTTTCCTACACACAAAACAGCGCAGGAAAGGTCCACTCTTAGGAAAGATGTCCTTCCCTCCACTAAACTCCAGGCCTCCACTTTCCCTGGGGGAGAAGGAGACCCTCAGGTGGCCCCTTACCGTTGGCCAAGTCTGTTTTGCCTTCTGCGCCGTTCCCTTTGCTGGACATCTTGAACGATGTTTACCGTAGCCAGCCTGCATTTAGGAGAGGAAGAAAAGGAAACAATTAGGAAATAGTCTGGGAGAGAAGAGAAAAGGGACAGGAGATTTAACAACGCACAGCCTTTATCGTTTTCATAAAAATGACTTTTTGAGGGGTGCCTGGCTGGCTCAGTCCCTGGAGCATGTGACTCTCACTTGATATACGGGTTGTTAAGTTCAAACCCCATGTTGGGGGTTTAAAGTAGAAATTACTTTAAAAAAATATTTTGGGGGGCACCTGGGTGGCTCAGTCGGTTAAGCGTCCGACTCTTTGATTTCAGCTCAGATCATGATCTCCTGTTTTGTGAGATTGAGTCCCGCACTGGGCTCTGTGCTGGCAGCACGGAGCCTGCTTGGGATTCTCTCTCTACTTCTCTCTCTCTGCCCCTCCCCCACTCCTGCTTTCTCTCTCAAAATAAGTGAACTTTTTTTTTAAAGCTTTAAAAAAAAAAACTTTTTGAGTCTGTGCTCAACAGGGCTTCTCAGCTGCTGAAAATCCTATCAGGCCCCCCTCCCCCATGTCTAAATTCCATAAAGAGACAATATCTTTGGGAGGTCAACTGCTATCTCTTTACCTGAGTAACTAACTGGCAATGATTTTTCAGATGGAAAGGAAGGAACTGAAATAGAACCTGAACCAGCAGGCATATATCCAGTGACAGGTACTGCAAGCAGAGAGCCTTAACACAAAAAGCTAGCTTCAGCATTGCCCTCCAGGCAGGAATCTTCTGCTGTAAATTCAGTCAGGTGTGTCCATAAATTTTATGAAACACCGTCTTCATAACATGAAGCAGAGGGCCAGACTCTGAATATCATCTTACACACAAGTCAACAGAGACAGAAGAGACCAAGCTCTTGGGGCGAGAGCTTGGGCTTTGTTTGCTCAGATGCCTAGCTTCAAACTTACAGGCACAGACATTAACTAAGGACGACAAGAAGCAAAGCCGAATTAGAATTCAGGAGCAAGGAGCGCCTTGCCCCCAAGAAAGAACCTAAGGTTTCTTTCTTCCTCTTACAAGTAAGCCACCGAGTACAAAGCTGGGGAAGAAGAGGGTGACATATCCATCTCAGTCCGTTTCATAAAACAGCAAACATTATTGCACCTAACTCCACCAACTTTCACCAGATTTATCTTTTCGGCAAAGCTCTGTCTGGGAACCGGGGTACCTAGCTTTTTTTCCTCTTATGCCACTATAACACATTCATTATTTTTACAGAGCCTCACTCCCACCTCGAGCAAATTCCAAAGAGCGAAGAATAATATTATTCAGACTAGAATTTTGTGAAGCCCTTTCAGTGCCTGGACAAAAGGCACTGGTAAAAGACAAAGTATGATTATGACTCCGGTCCTCGTACCCAGGCACACTGGCTTCTAATCTTTCAACAGCCCTTTCATTCCCATAACAATTATCCCAGAAGCAGCCCCGCCCGCATCCTTACCCCCTACTCTCCTCTACAGAAATCCAAGTTGCTTCAGCAAGTGTCCCCTGCCAAGAGACAGCTGCCCAAGGCTCGCTCCGCAGCCCAGGGCGGGGGGTGGAAATAATGCACAGGCAGGACCAAGGCCGAGTCTGGGGAAGGACCTGGAAGGGTGCTGGGAGACAATGCCAACAAAGCACAGATTTGTGAAGCCGCGCGGAAAACGACGGGCGAAGAGCGGTCCGCGGGGCCGGCCGGTTTCCTCCCGCTGCTGCTCGGAGGCGGCGTGTTGTAAGCGTTCTGCACACAGCACCGGCCTCTCCTGGCCGCAGTCCCTGTTTCTACTCTTTAGCATCTCGCAGCATCTTCTTCCCCACCCAGGGCTGAAATCCATTCTATTTAAACTGCAAAAGTCCCCCAGGGTAAGGAAAACAAGCTGTGCTACTTTAAGATTAAAAACCTCAGGTCATAAGCACACGTGATGATGGTCAACTGAGGAGAGACCTGAGGTTTCTGACCTCCAGGAGCAAACCTCTCAACCGGCCCCTACTTTCCACCTCACCATCATCCTCCTCCAAAGAAGAAAGTGGCTCCGGAGACCCCTTCTCGAGCCTGAACTGCACCAACTCCTCCAGAGGCCCAGACGGCCTGAGCTGCAGACTCAGGTCGGTGCCTGAAAACACAGCCGCGCTCCCGGCCTCCGGGACCAGGAGAAGCCAGAGCTCCTAGCTTGGCGAGGGGGAGAGCAGGGCCTCACGGTTCAACCCCAGGCTGCTGAGCTGGTCTTTTGGGGAAAATGGCTTACGGTTCTTGCAAAATGAGATCTTCGTGAGGAAGAAAGCTGACGGAACGTATTGCTAAATTCAGAAACAGGGAAAACCCCGTGAATGCTTATGCCAACTCTGTTTAATCACGGAGTTGGAAGGCAGATAGCTTCTGAAGGTCACATCTTAGGGGCCATGGAGTTTAGCAAAATTAGTTGTAGATTGAAAATTAGTCCAGGGTTGCAGCATGAGTAAGCCATTAGCATCCTTTCTGACTTTGGATGAGCTACTTAACCTTCCTGAGGCTTCATTTTTCTCTTTTTGTAAAACAGTAGTGGTTAATTCCAGAGACGGTCGAGATAAGCAGAATTCTACGTTAAACGTTCTGCAGAAGGACGCTCTGGAGCAGTGGTCTCAAAACGGATTATAAACCCCTATCGGTGAAAATTTTTACCATGAATCCCGAATATGTGTGCATGCATGTACATACACGTTATCTAACCGATTCACATTAAATATTACATTTAACGTCTGTAGCGGAAAAAAAAATTCCAACATTCTTTCTCTATACACCACCGGACCACATTCCATACCCCTCTGGGTGCACACCTTCCCCCTCAGGAGGACCACTTTTTTAAAAAGCCAAGAAATGATGACAATAAAATACAATCACTTTGGAAAGGAGTTGTTGTTCTTATCATATAAATTTCTGTCAGAATGAAGAAGTTTAACGCCATCTCAACTCTGGGGCAGGAACTCAAGTGTCCAACTGAAAACAGGCTAAGATGCTATGACAGGGCCCTAGGTCTCAAGTATAAGAACCGCTCTAGAGTCTCCACCGCCATCAAAGATGATGGTTATTTTATAATCAGAGGTTAGGGACCCTACTTGACCCAAACATAAATTGCTTTCTTCATTTTTTAATGCACTACATTCCCAGCAAATCCACTGCTTTTACCTTGATCAATTTCCATGTAAAATTCAGTCCAGAGCAAACGAATCTGAGCTCGGAGGAGCTGATTGATGAGCTCACTGTCCCAGGTAGCTGGGGGAGTTTAATTAGATTAGCCCTGCTGCCTACACTCTAAAAATAACCATAACCCCTGCCAAACAGAAGGTTAAAGAGTAAACTACTGGGGGATGGGGGAAAAAGATCCAGGTGTCATTTTAATTTCTACCCAAGAAAGGCCAGTGACCTAGATCTCTCCTGTCTTAAGGAAAAGGCCTTAAAGTTTTAACCAAATATATGACAAAATACTAACTAAAAACCAAGCAAAGAGGCAGTTAATACAGTGTACGAGAGTACTTTGTGGGGGCGCCTGGGTGGCTCAGCCGATTAAGCGTCCCACTTCAGCTCAGGCCATGACCTCGCAGTTTGTGAACTGGAGCCCTGTGTTGGGCTGACGGTGCAGAGCCTGCTTGGGATTCTCTCTCTGCTCCTCCTCCACTCACGCTTGCTTTCTCTCTCTCTCTCTCTCTCTCTCTCTCTCTCTCT